AGAAGATCCTTTTTTCCAATCATGACGCTCTCCTTCCTGACGGTGGCTGCTCTGTGTCCCTCACTGCTGCCTGAACACACAGGAAAGCATTTTCCCAGTGAGAAGACCTAGCAACAATCAGAACACCAACCCATACATCTCGTCTCGCTTCTTCCTCACTGTCCATGGTTACTGCCATTCCAGGCCTTCAGGGCCTCCCAAAGCAGGCTGGGCTCAGAGCGAAATGGGAAGACTGAAGAAGCGAGAGCAAATGCAGGAGCCTGGAAGGTTTCTCTGTCTACGTGGGATCTGCAGGCACTTGCATGTCAGCATTCCTGTCCGTGGTGTGTGAGGGGGGTGGGGAGGAAAGGCAGTGGCAGGGCAGCTCAGAGATCCAGAAGGTCCCCCTGGAGGGCAGTTCATTGGCTGTCTCCATTTCTTGCAATCATGGCAGGGATAGTTTGGTTTAGCTCATGATGCAATCCCTGCTCTGTGCCAGGCACAGTGGGAGGCACTGGCCTGAGCAAAACGAGCAGGACATCATTTCCACTTTGGAGGGGCCCACCCTCTAATGGGGGACACAGAGATGCAAACAGGGCTCACGTTCCAACGTGAGCCATGCAGATTTGCAGCTAGAAATGTTCAGTCCACAATTGTTGGTGCAAATACATAAGCAACAGGAGTGGAGAGGAAAGATACTTAGGGGTCTCTTGCTCTCAGTCATTGACTGGCAGGGGGAGGGTGAGTGTGCAGGGGAAAGAATACATCCTTTTCCTAATGCTGTCACTCACTTGCTCTGTGTTCTCCAGCAAGGCTTGGCCGTCTCTGGTTTTAGTCTTCCCATGTGTTCAACGCAGGGATCCACCCAGACATGTCCTGCGTCCTGTTTCTGTGAGAGTGTCATGGCCCAGGTGTCTGTTGCTCCTTACTGTTATCATGTATTCAGCACCTACTATGCATCAGGCATTTTGAGCATTTTTAATACCTTCTTGCACGTTCTTCATAACCGTCCTGTTGTGAAGGGCATCTAACAATAATGGGTATTATCAGCCCCA